CTCTCTCTCTCTCTCTCTCTCTCTCTCTCTCTCTCTCTCTCTCTCTCTCTCTCTCTCTCTCTCTCTCTCTCTCTCTCTCTCTCTCTCTCTCTCTCTCTCTCTCTCTCTCTCTCTCTCGCTCTCTCTCTCTCGCTCTCGCTCTCGCTCTCGCTCTCACTCTCACATGTTATCTATCTTTTTGCTTAGAAAAAAAAGTAATATAATTTTTTGCTGTTTTCTTACTTTAATTTTTTATCATCAGTTCCATATGATGAACTACTACTTATTTTGGATATTCCTATCGTTTTTTGCATAAGTATATAAACTGAAAAAATTTGAAATTAAATATTAATGTTAATAATGAAAATAATTGCATAAAACTATATCATATTACATATATATCAAATATGTATCATATTAAAATACTTACATAAAAGAATAGTACCAATTCCAATCGAAAAATAAATAGTCGAGCCAGATAAAAAAAGATTAATCAAATAATAAAGCATTGGTACTACTACTATCACTGTCCAGCAAATTGTATTAATGAGTGAATAATATCTTCTCTTTAATGTAATTTTATCTACTTTGGCTACTCCACTAGTTGCAAAAAAATCACCTGTTTTTTCGAAACTTTCTGCCATACGATCCTAAAAAAAATAAGATAAATTTTATAACTAATTTTATTAATTTTAATAAAATCATACTTTTTTCTCATAAAGTTTATGTAACCATTCTGCAGCAGCTTCCTGATCTTCTGGTATTTCTTTCATAGGAATCCTCTGCATATATATATGTCCTAAAATCCGTTTTCCTAATAGCAAATTTGTTATTGTTGGTTTCACAGAATCATTTGACTTAAATTGCACTTGCATATTATAAATTGCAGGTATTTTATCCCGCATATATGGTATGCTTGCTGTAAAACCTTTTGTTCGTGGTGTTAAATGGTATTTTAATATCGGAAGACCTTCTTTTTGGGCAAACTTTTGACTAGCTTCTAATTTTTGTGGTGTGATTCGTGTTCCCTCAGGACATAAAAGTAACTATGGAAATTATTTTAAATAAAAATTTTAAATTAATTTATATAAAACTAAATACTCAAAAAGTAAGTTATGAATTAAAAATATACTATACTAAAAATTATAATAAAAAAATAATTAAATTAAAAATTAGATGTTAAACAAAAAATTTTAATTACCGATATACTATCTGGATAATTTCCAAATTCACGAATTTGAGAACGAATTATTTCTTTATCTTTCTCCCAATTTCTTTCCAAGAAAATATACTCAGAAAATTTCCATCCCCAACCTAATGTTGGAATATATTGTAATGATTTTTTTACATATGCTTTGCAATTCTGAAATATATAAAATTTTATAATGTAATACAATAAAATGTAATTGTAACTTATTTTTTTATTTATCTTTTTTATATAGAATTATTTATGATTCATATATATGTAACTAACACCAAGTATTCCTTTACGTTCACATAGAACCCAACCAATAAGCCAATCTACTTCGTAACTGTGATTCATTAATATATATCCATGTTCTTCTCCAAAATGTTTTTCAAGATCATTTTTATCCATATACAATATAAAATCTGATCCAGACCACCATTCTATCAAAAAAACCAACTCTGAAAATTTAATACCAATTTAATAGTAAATTTAATATAATATTAGAAAAATTCTTTTTCTTAATTTTTTTAATAATTATGATATCAAAAATTTATAAAAAATTTCTAAAGAATTATATATTAAAATATAATTAAATTAAAATAAAAATCAAAAAAATTTAAAATAAGAATAGAATCTTAAAATAACAACTTACGAGTATAAAAAGAATAGCAAAGATAATAATTAATCTTGCGATAACAATATCTGGAAAAAGGTCTGAGACCAAAGTACAAAAAACATTGGAAGAAATTAGTTATCAAACCCGTAGTAAAAAATGTTATAGCAAATATCAGATGAATCACAGTGGACTGCTTCAACACTGATAATAATCCCATCTTCCACAATTTTTTGGATGTGAATTTAATTTTAAGGATAAAGCATACATACATACATACATATATATATATATATATATATATTCTCATAATATCAATTCTAAATCT